TCCCCCCCTCTCGATCGCAATCGCACACCCCGGGCACACCCGGGTGCAATAGCGCCCGTAGTGCGTGTATATCGACTTCCGCGAAAGACAAAGGAGAAGCGTATATTTTTTTCTCGCAAAATTCGAGGTACCCCCGAAGTGGAGGAGAGAAAGAAGGAGAGAGAAAATACGGCGGAAAGGGAAGAGAACCCAATTCGGAGCAAATACCGCCGGACGAACGCATGTACACGGACGACGAGTCGTTACATACACACACACACGCACACATTCGCACTCAGAGAGACACAGACAAAAAGAGAGACAGAGAGAGAGAGACATGCATATATACATATACGTGGCGCGCGAAAGAAGAGAGAAGGGGCGGAACGGGGGGAGTTCGACGAGGCGAGGGGGACGAACGTGGGGGGAGGGTGGTAGCAAATGCTTAAAACGAAGATGGCTAGTGGGGCCCACCATTTTCGCCCGGGCACACACGTACGTGTATCGGTGTGTGTGTCGGTGTCGGGAATACACGTAACATATACCCAAGCAACCCCTGCGTCAGCCATCCATTTAGTTGAGGGTGGCGGGTGGACCGGGTGGGTGTAGGGGGAGAGATGGGGGAGGAAGAGGAGGGCCGGGAGGTAGATGGAGATGGAGGAGGATGAGGAGGTGGAAAAGGGGGACCTAGCGGGTGCACCAGCGTCCCCCCTCGTCCACCCTCTTCCCTCCCTCCCTCCCCCCCCCGGGCAGATCGATACAACCCCCGTCTCCCAACCCGCCCAACCACCCCCGCAACTTTACTTATTATACATTCCCACCCCAAATCCCCGCGTCTCATTATCTTTGTCATTGCGAAGGAAAAATCGAGAAAGCCCCGGGATAACGCGTAACTCAACGCGCGCGACGGCTGGAACAGAAATACGCGCGCGTGTATGCGTGTGCGTGTTTGCGTCGCGTGTAAGAGGTTTTTTTTTCCCCTCTCCTCTTTCCTCGGAAAACGTATCGATGCTTGACAAATAAGACGAACGGTTTCGCGCCTAAGATCGGGTGCGCGCGCGAAACATTCATACCTCGCATACCTTGCGAGATCCTCCGCACGGACGATCGATCACGGAGAGAACGCGTGAAAATTTCACGGACCGAGTTCACTTCCTTCCCTCGATACGGATAATCTCCCAGAAATTCCCGTCGTAACGGTCGCCCGCGCGAGTGACCCGAGCCCCGCGATTACACGCCGTGTTACACGATGACGATTACAAAGGTTGACGGAGCAACGCTACGCGGCTCTCTTCCGCTCTGCGCGATTCGTGTTACACGCGGTGTCGCCCGATATCTCTCGAATTTTCGTGCCGGCCGCGTATCGCGAGAGAGGTGTCTCTCGTCAATAATGATTGCCAAAGCAGAGAAAATCGATACCGCCTGGAAATTGCGGCCGGAATCTTCCGCGTTGGGAGATGAAACCGTGTGTTCGCGGATGAATTTTCCTCACCTATGAACAGTTATCGATCTGCTGTACGCCGGCGAGGTTAAAACTAACTCGTCCTTCCCGTACTTTGCGTTAATTTAGCGGCTCGCTCGTATATTATTGAATTTTGCGTACGTCTGAAAATTGCCGATTCCCTTCACAACATTCCCAAGTTACACAGCGTTAGATGGAGAAAAGTAATCTTTCGAGTACATGTAATAAATTTTTTTGTCTAATGTTACTCTAATAAAAAGCGACATTCGTGTGCTGTTAGTATACTACTTGAGATTGGAGTCATAAAAGGCTCGTCAGAATGGATCTTTGAAGAAGCATAGTTTTTAACTGAATCTACAAAGAGGGAAGCATTATTTTCCTCGTACAAACGTGTATGTAGTAACATAGAGAAAATTTGAATAATTATATTCTAATATATAAGACTCTAGCACACACAATCCTCCCATACATTTACAAATATTTACGATAACGCGTATTTTGCGCGCACGGATATATGCTACTTACATTGATGCTTGTCGGCGAGCTGTACTAAGGTAGTGGGTAAATCCCTCCGCCTGAAGAAGCACATGACTTTTGCTTCCACATTCCCGCTTGCGGTCTGAAAAACGGAAAACAAGAAAGTCAACGAGTGTATATTGGATCTACATATACAGTTGCGCCTATGTATATTACTTGTATATTAAAAAGATTAACACACTTGAATGAGACGACAGAGAGTAATATAAATAGAAAATAAATAGTTACGGTGCTCATACTTTTTTTTTCTCCCACCGAAATGCAAGAATATATCGATTCTCACCTTATTTAATTCCTCTATCCTCCTGATCTGATACGGCGAAGAGGTGGAAGTCTCGAAATATACGTAATCTAAAAATTAACAACTGTATTAATAATCGAACTGTATTAATAATCGAATAACGAGAAATATATAATAAAAAAAAAATTATCACACATATCTCTCTTTTCGAAATTTTAATTATCCAATCAACAGTAACTGTAACCAACATCTTTTTTTTTTAAGTCAGGAAATCATCATTATAAATATATGTGTTTAATAAAGAACAAACGGCCCTTTTAGAAATTTGTCATAAAAAAGGGAGTTTCGGAGCGTTCATCGTGATAAAAGCGGAGATGAAAATTTCGGCTAGACGTGCACGCCGTCGCCGGTAATATAAAATCGAAAGGGGGGTAGCAAAGAGAGAAGGGGGGGCAAGCGGGCGACATCGCTCTTTCATCGTTGAAGAAGGCTGACGCGTATGCACGACTTCTCGTGCGGTGCATCGATACAACGAAATAGAGAAACAGCTCTAGACTGTTATCGCCAGGATCCAATTTTGATCCGCGAGATTTGTCGCGCAAGAAATTAGCGTGACCTGGACATGAGAGAGGACGGGTGTGCGGGTGTGTGGGAGAGGGAGATGGCGGGTGGGAAGGAGGGAGGCAAGGGAGAGAGAAAGAGAGAGAGAAAGAGAGAAGAGGAGGAAGAATGGAGGAGTCGGGAGAGAAAGGGGGGAGGAAAAGCCGGAGCGTAGGTATAGGACGTTACAACGGGGGGAATGAGCGGGAAGGGGGATGAGGGGTAATGGAGGGTGCGAGGGAGATCCAGATGAAGAGTGGAAAGAAGAGAGAACGCGCGCGAGGGGAAAGCGGGGGAGAGAGAGAGCGGTAGAGGAGCAGGGATGAAGAACGCGCCGCGCGGAGGGTATAGGGGACGCCATTGCGATGCCATTTGCAAACATTAATTTCTCGGAGTTAATTAAAGCCGCTACCTCTCTCGGAGACGCGGATACGGCCGCGTAGACGGCGTAGCGTCATCGTACCCGTCGCCGCTGCCGCCGCCGTCGCCGTCGCCGTCGTCGTCGCCGTCGTCGTCGTCGTCGTCGTGTCGACGTCGTCGACGACGGCGATACGCGGCGGCGGAATGCATGTGGTTTACTTTACCTCCCACCCGGTACATGTTGGCCGTCATGTTGCTGGCGTCCTGCGTGGACCCGAGAGCGAAATTGGCGTTCTCGTGGTTACCGTGGCCCTCGTGGTATTCGGCCGGCATCGGCATCAAGGCTTCTCGTCCTCCACAACGTGTCACAATCTTTCGCGGTCGCCGTCGATCGCGGCACACGATCCTTCTCGGCAGTCTTCTCGACACACTCTCGCAGTCCTCGTCAAACTGGTCAACACCTCGCGGCGCAGTCACTCCATCGTATTTGTTTGCTCATTGTCGATCCGCTACTAAATTTTCGCTCTCGTCTCTACCTTGCCGCCCCTGCGTCCTCTGTCCGTCTGTCCCTGTCCCTCGGGGTTTTCGCTCTTTCTATTGCCCTATCTCCGTCCTTCTCTGTTTCTCCCTCTCTCTGTCTTTGTCTTTTTCCCTTTCCCCCCTCCCGCCCGCACGGTTCGCACGGTCGCTACCTTGTCTCTCTTACGGGTCCGAATATCGTCCGCGCTTAGGATCGGCTATTATTCACAACACCTCAGATGTCGTTTTCCTCCAGTCGCTCCGTTTTACGATACTCCCAAAAATAACGGATCGGCGTACAATAACCAAGCAACAGCACACGCGGCAACACACCGAAGGCGGGAAAATTTCGATGCACCCACGTACAACAGAGGTCGACAATTGGCTACTCGCGTGTCCGTTACGGTGATTAGCATCGTCGACGGCGGCCACTGCCTCCGCTTATAAAGCCAAGCACACGGCCCGCCATTTTCATTTCGGCGAGCACGAGCCGCTACACGCACGACCGGACAAGACTGTTCCAAAGACAGTCCCTCCACCAACCTTGAGTACGACTCGCTTCTTCCTACAAACGTGTCCACGCGAATCATTCACTGCTGTAATCGACGCGTCGTTTACGTCCTTCGCGATCGAGAGCGTGATCGCTTCTCTCCTCGCCCGCACCTGTATGACTCGCGGGAAGCCAACACACTCAAATGCGACGAGGAGCAACCGATGGAAAACGCGCGGCGCGAGCGCTACTACCGGATCTACCGAGGAGATCACGCAAAACAAGATCATCGCTTGTGTGCAATCTAGAGTGGAAACTCGAAAAATGCAATTTAGTCCATTCGTTTTTAATCCATTATATTCTAAAGTTCATTGGAAATGACGTCATATGTCTTTACATTTTAAATTTGCTTGAATACATTACAATAGTTAATTAAAAATTAATTAAAAATGGTTTTTGTTGATTAATATAATGTATTTTTTTTTTATATATTTAATTTTTTATATATTTACAGCAATCTGCAGTCTAGTTGTATTTTTATGCCATAATGCATAAATATCTAGATACGATGCTTCTAATTAAAAAATATACTAAAAATATACTAAATACTGCAGAAATAAAAATAACTATTTTTACATAAACTATTATATAGATATTATTATTATAGATATTCGATAGAAATTCTCGTATCTATTTGCATATCTAAATGTCTTCAAGCAGGCTATTGAGAATTATTTAATAAAAATATACACCGACAAAATAAAAAGCAGTTTTATTTCGCATTTATATATTGGCTATTTTGCATTTTAAATTTAAAGCGGCGAATTCACTTAGTACGTTAAATTACAACTCATTGTTAATGTCATTATTATAGTTATATATATATATATTTCATGGCATAACATGACAATGCTAAATGATGAAATAATTAAAACAGTTGCTTCAGTTTCAAGTAATTATTGTGTTTGTAACAGATAAATAAGTGGAAGCAAATGTCTCTTCCCTATTGCAAGAAAACTATTTCTTAAAATACAGTATCAATTATATAAAGATCCGGCTGAAAGAAGAAATTGATTTCTTGGCTGGTAGAGATGGTAAAGTAAAATAATGGTATGTAGTATATGAAATATTTATATTTACGAAATTAGTCTTTCTATACAATTGCTAATGCGCAGTCATATACTTCTTCATTCTGTTCTGAAATTGTTAAAGAGCATGTATGTTGAATAATTAAAATTACTCCACTAATTTGTAGAACCTGTGCGAGCTTGCCTTGTTTTCCGTGAAATGTTCTTTAACGCGACCTGACTAATAATAAATAGAGTAACGAATAAATGTCGATTTGATGCAAATACATAACATAAACATATATTTATTATATACATTATAGTGCCTTTCTTTTATAATAATACACATCTGTAAGAATGTTCATAATTTAATTTAATTTCATGGAATTTCGATAATTATTTGTAAGGCACACCCCACGGTCTTTGCTAAAAGTAATTTTGTGTGTTTTCACTGTTTATATCATATAAATAACTGTATACTGTTGTGGATATATATATATATAATATATATATTCTATTAGAGCCTAAATTTATTATGCATTTTTATTTTTAAGAATAATTAATATGCTAGATATAGAGGCAATAATCTGTTCTGTACATAATCCTATGTCTTTCTTATCGATTCTTTTAAGATAGATAATGTACCATTTTTATTAATGATAATAAATGACAGTTTATAGAGAATAACGGAAAAATGCATAAATGAGATGCACAGGATGAGACCTGCTCATGTACAGGTTTACATGTGCTCACTCATCTTCATCAGAACATACAAAACATGAGTAATAATGTTGAAAATAAAACGCGTGAATGCAATATCACCAGCACATCCGTTGCTAATACAATTTCATATTGACAATATATAAATTTAAATATATAAATTTAAGATCGTCTTAAATAATGAAAATTTGCGCAGCCGATTCCATTAATATTTTTCATCTGTACTTTTTTAATGCAGCTTCATTCATAAATCGTATGCGATAAAAATATGTGTAACACACACTTGCAGTGGCATTTTTACTCGTAACGTTTTGTATATTTTACCACTCACGATTTTTTTTCTTTTTCAAATCTTGTAATATTAATATAAAATACCTATGCCGCCATCGACAATTTATGCATTTGTATGTACAAGTATAACTCTCCCAGAATCCAACTGTCTGGCTTCATCTTGTATCTCTACTTACTAAGATACTATTGTTTTATGAATAAAAAAATACTAATATATCGCATTGTCGTTGCACGGGCAGTGTTTGCATACTGTTTTATCCATTGATAAGGCACCAACTCTATTGGGATCCTGAGATTCAACCCGCATGCTTCGACAGATTTAGAGGCATATCTGCAGATGAGAAATGAACACGTGTGAGCACATCTTCAAATAAAAATACTCTATTCGATATTCTATTTATACGTTTGTTATAGAATTCAAATGGTACGAAACATACCTGAAGGAGGTGTGAGAGTTTGTTCCCTGTAGTCTTTATAATGTGGAGGCGACGGATGAGGATGCTGCGGTGCGTACAATTGCATAGGAGGCGCATAGTGGACGGGAGGTGGATAATGGGTCGTCATCCATAAGGGTGTCGCCCTGTACGGCCCAGGGGCCAGCATCGGCATTGCATAATGAAGCGGATGATGAACAGATGTATTGCTGGCTCCAATGTAAGGGTCGATTCGCACCCTTGGATAGGCGTTACTCGATGAGTATTTCACAGGTTGCCGGTCGTCCGGCTTCAGCAACGTCCTCAAGAAGCCTTGCTCGGAACTCGGCTTATCCTCTCCCAAGATACTCGTTATACTGTACGATGAGAGTTGCTTCGAGGAAGGAGTCGGTGGCGCACTCGTTGTACAAACCGGTTGCGGAGTGGCTCGCCTCTTGGACGCCTGATCTTCCAGCGAGACTCTCTCCAGCTCTCGTAATATACGCTTACGAGGCGACACGACGTTAGGATCCAGTAGACGCGCCAATTTATCGATGATCACACTCAGAACTTTGCCGGACGACGATGTACCGTTCCATTTACGCAGCGCTTTTGTCGGATAGATCCGTGTCGATGAGGTGAGAGCTGCAGTCTTGGGATCTAACGGACGCCTGCGTTTCTTCGCCATCAAGCGAGGATGCACATATAAGCGAGTCTTCGGATTTCGATGATAAAAGAAATTAAATTCCGTGGTTATCCTACGTCGGGGATGGGTCTGCTTCCAGCAGTGATCTCTCTGCCAAGGACTGGATTGGACCGACGAATTATCGTCAGAAACTGAAAAGAAAATGTAATATACATATATTGTTATGAGTTATCTAGATTAATCTTATAATCTTTATTTTTTTTACACAATAATAAAAATTAGAATAGAAGCACTATTCTGAGAAACTATGATTGTAATCTAATCTGTCTGTTGCAGCTCTTAAAGATATAATACATATTAATGTTCCTTCCAACTCACCACTAAGGGAAGTAGAGCTTTCTTGGCGATTCGGGATGGTGCTAGTAGGTGGCCAAAAAGTCTTCTTTGGCACAGGAAACCACGTGGTCTTTTCGCCATCTCTGCGATGAGACAGTTCCAAGATAAATTTTCCATCCTTGAAGAACTTCAAGCGGCCTCCGGGAGTCGGTAGCAAATTGTTGTCAATACGTGTCTCCGTGTGATGAGCTGGTTGGGGGCTTGAATTTTTACCGTTTGCCTTGGCAAGGGTCGGGTGCAATGTAGGTGGATCACGCGAGCACATCTCTGTCGTGCCCCTCACGTGACCTGCGTGAGCATGACATTCTGCTGACTTCTCACGCATGCTGATACTTTATCGGTATCCATTTTCCTCCACTGGACCTCTCATACTTCAGCTTTCCAATGTCTGACAAGGTAGGAGGACTTGCGTTTTCTGCTGTCCTTCTGTTGAACAATTAAACCTATATACTTAAAATATTGCAGTGTTCAGATTCAGCGAAGAATATCCTTATACTCCAAGGTTTTTTTTTAGCAAAACAAGAATCTGTAATTAACAAAGTCCGAGGCACATGTATCATATTGACAAATAGCCAAAATTCATACTGTTCAGGCAAGACATCAGAAATTGTGGAACACAGTTATGATTCGCAGAGAATCATGATGGCTGACAGACACACAGATGGACCTAGCCATAAAATTTGCTTATTTAATCGCTGGCAAAGCTTGAAAAAGGCAAGAACACGTCATTCTCCAGTGACAACTGTTGCTGGCTTGTTCATAATGTCATCACAGCGGTGCGGTCAACGTGAGAGTAACACCACAGACTTCAGACAGAGGGGCGACATTTTTTTTTGTACTCAAGAAATACAACATGCGCATACGACGATAATCGACCCCGGACCGTATGGATGTGGCGATGTCGTATCGGACGGTGCGATAGTATCAGTTCGACCGCGACAATTTGCATCGGAGCACCCGCAGAAATCCGGTGTGTATGAGAGATGGCAGTTGCCAGATACCCACCCACCCACGCACTACCGCCTTCCGCTTCTGCTCGCTATTTTGCTGCCGTAGCGCGGCGCATCGTCCTCGTAACCGTCTGCGGGGACGAATGCGTCGACTGTCGTTGCGCGTACCTGCGTTCGCGGTCGCGCACGGTCGCGCGAACGCAAGATTTCACGCAGCGGACACGATGACGGAACGACAGGGCAGCAGTCCGCAGCAATGGGAAACACCACTCGACCGCGACACATGTGTTTCACTTCACCCGCGAGAAGTCCGCGCGTTCGTCGCCGGCACGGGCCCGGTACATACGAGCACGCATCCGTAGAATGTGCGTCCGTCGTCCGCGTTTTCCGCGTGATTCTCGCCCCGTGTCGTCCGCGGAAAAAAAACAGCGAAAATTCTGGCCTTCTTGAGTCGACAGTGTCGACCCTTTTCGTCGACAACACACTGCGGTGGCGGTTCACGTTCCACGCGTTCCCACGTTTCTGCCGCGACTCGCGCGGTCCAACTCCCACGATTTACGACTTCGATTGCGATCGATAGTATGAGAATTTTCTTTCTGCGCGAATCCGCCTGAACAAATGTACTTCTCGTTAATAACAGATTTACGAATCTATTTTTCTAAAAATCCTTGCGCATCTTTTATCGCGCGTCATTTATGTCAAATCGCGGTTCATTCCGCTCGTTCCTCAGTTGCATTCTCACTTTGCGGCGCGAATGAGAACACGCGCGAGATTTGTATCGATATCATGCCGATGCGCTTCTTTTCCCGACACCGTCAATCGCGTCGCACGACCGAGATCCAATTCTGAATGTAAAATGCTTCTCCTGGAAGAGTATTCCGAGTTAGTCGAGCGAGATTCCGCGGAAATATCGTTTTTATGGAAAGGCCTGCAGATGCTCGCCTGTTTATTGAGTATCCTGACTGGATACAGCTGCGCTATTTTATTCTACATATTATGGGTATTTCTGTACTGTAATGTATTTGTAGATTAGAAATATTTAATATGCTTGTTCGTAGAAAGATGTGCTTTTTTAGGAAAATATTTTTGGCGGTCATTGTCCTCTCTGGGCAAAATTGGATTCATTATCTAGAACAGTGAATTCTGCAGACGAGCATCTTCATGATTTCACTATTGTTCAACTAAACGACACTGATTGGAAACGCTATGTTGTTAGCTATGATTACAAAAAACATTGCGAATTTTATTTCGCCGCGTGCCTACTGTCTTGCATATTCGGAACTGTGTGGTTAACATTGTTTTTTATGTGTGGCAAAGGCGGCTACGATGTTAAAACGCAAGTAACAATAATTGCTAAAAATATATATTTAAACATTGCAGCATTGTTAAAAAGAGACTGATGAAAATTCATTATGTACAGTTTTACAGCTCCTTGGAGAATCGTCGTTCCTGCGTTACTTTTTAATTTTTGTCTCACAATAATAACATTGTATGCAACATATACGATGAAAAAAGGATATCAACAATTTAGTAAAGATCTAATATTAATTTTCATAAAAATTACAAAAGGATATACATCTACATTAAATCTTAAGTATGTATATTTTAGCCTGTAAAATGTGTGACAAATTTATATAATTATATTAATCGGTTCTTGAAGAGAATGCATCATCTTGCAAGATTATGTAACTCTTTACACTCTTGACGACTATGATGTATGCAACACCTTTTACGTATTGGAGGTAGGAACACATCGCAAAATAGTTTATCAGATATAATTATTGATACTTCTTCTGCTATTTCAAGACTGTATCATGGATAATGACGTGGAGTTGGATAACAGGATTCATGATACTCTTTGTGCGTTTTATAACAGTCAGTGACTTCAGACTTTTAAAAATTCGCGTTTTTAAGATTCTGCAAGAGCCAATTGAAACTCAAGAAGAGAAGGAAAAACAATCGTAGTATGCGGAATAAAAAATTATCGCAAAGCATTATATGTCCAAAAAGAATTTACGTTTTACAATTTTATTTTACTTTTTATTGTAACCAGATTTAAGGATAAAGTAAATATGCCCTTAGTTCGTAATTTACCGTGTATTAGATTAATGTGTAAATCTGTTATGCATTGATGCATCTCTGTTAACATTTCTACCGCGAAGTACCAGGCCCTGACAATGAGATTTATGCACGTCCTCGGTCGGTTCGTCATCGGCGGCTCTCACTTGCAAGAGAAACATACGTCGACTTCTATTGGACAGGTTCAAGTACGAACCGTGAAGCAGCAAGTAGGAGAAGATGACAATTTCGCCTTTCTTGGCTGTCACAGGCTCGGCTTTCGACAAGGGATACTCCTCGGGATTGACGTAATGATACGACTCCCCCTTCTCGTCGGTCAATCCGTAATCTTGCAATGGTCCTAGCTTGTGACTACCTGGATATACCGCTAAACCACCGTTCTCCGGTGTTGTATCGTCCAAATGTAGAAACACAGCCAGCATAGTGTGCTTCTTGTGAGGAAAATAATGATAGTCTTGATGCATCAAGTAAGGCGCTCCCTTCTCTGGTGGCTTTATGTGCGCCTTGGTATGATGCAGCAAGATATCCTTGGTATCCATGATGTCTTCAAGGGCGTCTAACAAATTCGGGTGCGTGATAAGTCGAGTAAAAACGGCACTGTGCATTTGTAGATTGTGGATAGATTTTACCTGGCGTGGGAAAACAAAAACATTCTTTACAATAGATGTGAACTTTACAAAATATAAAAAATTGTAACTGTATTCTTCACTTACAGTGTAATCAATGTATCCAGCTGCTTTCTTCATATCTTCTCCAACCCAACCTGCTTCCAAGCCCGTCACATTTTCACGATGTTTTCTATCAAACAATTCATTATAGGCATCTGATATCTCATTCATCTCCTTCAACGAATATACGTTCGCCAATTTAATATAGCCATTTTCTTGCCAGAATTGCTTCTGCTCCGGTGTTAAAAATTTTAAGGCAGCCATTTTCAGTATGAAATTTCAATATTTCTTTTACACAACACTTTTCTTATACAAAATGTAACAATTTCGTCTTGTAGCATTAAGAGATAGAATAGCATCTGTGCACCATGTATTGAAATATATATTACCCCACTCCAAGAGTATTGTTCAGTAGGGATTATCTGTGCATGATGATGTGCAAATTCTAATATTGTCACATGTTAAACATTTTTGCACAAACAATTTACGATTTTCTTGCATATTTACAAGATTCTTTAATAAATCATGTAACTTACAACATAATTTAAAATGATATAACAAACACAATTTAATGAGATAAAAATATTTAATATTATAATTATGTATTATGTATGAATAGTAATGGAAGATAATTATGTATAGAATGTAACAGAAAATGTCAGATTACAAAATTTCACGTTTGTTTCAATTCATTAAAATATTTTCGTTTATTTAAAAAATGTAAATAAATCAATGTCTTGTTGCATAATTTTACACTGCACTGTCTCTCTCTTTCTCTCTTACCCTTTTGATTATATAACCTGACCTGACCATAATGACCTCTCATGTTATGTTGATATGAATAAAAATATTACATCAGCTTTTTGATAGCAAATGGAAATTTCTGTCGCATGACCTCAAGATATTTGTAAAGTCATATTTGTAAAGTCATACTTGCGTAATTGCTTACAGGAAAATTACTAAATTTAATATTCTGATAGTTAATACTGTCTCATTATTTTTAATTAAGTTCGTAATACTAATCTATTTAATATTTCAAAGTAAAAAAATTATCTATCTAGTTGTAAAAAAAATTAGCAATTGCTCCTTTACAATTATCATAATTAAGAAATTCTTGTCATGGATAAAATTTAAATCCTTTTATAATTTGTTTTGATTGATACCATCGATATGAAGATTGAGTTGAACTATTATATTGAGTATATTGCACATCATCATCATCATCTTCCAAGTGTTCCTCACATGAGTCACGATATACTTTGACAAGAGTCCTGCAATTACATTGCATATCCACGAGATCTTCTTGGCACAGTTTAATCTTGAAGTAACTTGTATTTTGCATATGTGATTTGTATTGTGGTTTAGGTAGGAAAAACTCTGATACTTTATTAGTATCTCTTTTTTTCAGCATGATAAACATATTTGTCACATTTAAAGGAATATTCATAGCTTCTTGAAACTCTTTACATTCCAACATAGACCTGCAAACAAAATTTAATATATTATATTACAATTTTTCATAAATACTTCAGATATATTTCTTTACATTTTTTTTTATTTATTTACCTCATAAGTTTTAAAAGTGGTTTTTTGGAAGAATGTTGATGTTGATATTCTTTATGTTGCTTGCTATTGAGAACATAAGAAGGAAGTTCTATCCCAATGCATAGCTTTGGTGATATTATCGTAGCACCAAGTAGAATAGCAACTTCTTTTATATCACAATCCTTGAGGAAGAATTGTGAAGATAAATGATCTGAGACATTCCTTAACGTATTCGATAAAGTTTTGAAGGAAAGTGCATTTCTGTCTGTTGCCTTTACGGTTGTTTGAAACTGAGTTAATGCTTCATACGTAAATGGTATTTGTTCTTTTTGATATAAAATGTATTTTATAAGTTCGATCACTACTTTTGTACACGAATCACTAGTTAACGGCTCGTCCAACATGACATCAATTTCCATTTCGTTGTTTTTGCGTCTGGAAAGCATTTTAGCGAAAAGAGACGGAATCTATAAAAATTTATTTCAGAATACTGTCCGCCGAAAATTTATACGACGCTTTTATTTCGGGTTAGATTATTTTCATGTAATTCTAGCGCCGATGTTGCCAATGTTGCCAATGTTGCCAATTCTAGCACAATGGTTGCTATGTCTAGTTAGTTACTATATTCGCTTTATTTACACACGCCGTTGAAATGCATGAGTTTTGAAATTTCAAGAAGCTGTAGAATTGAAAAACAGTTTGAGATGGAGCTAAAAACGAAGCAAATGGAAAAGCTATTAGAACCTTTACAACAGCAGGTAATCAAAATGTATTTTCTTTAACAAGTTTACTAATTAAAGCATTCATTAAAACCAGTTGTAAGAAATAAAAAATTTAGAAAAACATTGTTTATTAAAATTATTTTATTATACAATACAAAAATTATAATTAATTTGTTACTATAATTAAAAATTTATTATTATACAGATATGAAAGTATGAAACTAAAATTATCTTATTTTTTTTCAGATAAACAAGCTACTTTTACTATTGACTAATATTTCTATTAATTCACCTGAAATTTTGGCTGTAAAATCAATACTTTTTGAGCAACTGTATTTTTTAACAGAGAGATTTAAGAATTTAACAAGTGAAGATAATTGTGACTATGAAGAAGCAAACGTAAAATGTGTTGATGCAGCAGCAAATACAAAACATATCTCTTTATTAAAAAATATTGATGAACTTGTATGTAACAAATAATTTCAATGCATTGACATTTATTCTTTATTTTTATTAAATAAACAAACTGACTATAATTCTAATTTTTTTTAGATTAAAGATATTAAGAGTGACAATATTAATACAGATGCAGCTAAATGCATGACAGAATCATTGTTTAATAATTTTATGCTAGCTTTAAGAGCTTTGGAAGATTTAGAATGTTTGCCATTGAAGCAAAGACTTCAAGACTGTCTGGATTATGTCAGAGAAATGAGTACAGCGAATGAGATTGAGGATCTTCAAAATATAAAGGTAAACGATATAAACTTGAATTTAAATACATATATTAATCTTTCAATATAAATATTGATCTTTTGCCTTTTTAAAGGAACTGGGTACTTCAATATTGGAGATATTTGAACCATTGCAGAAATACAGAAGAAGTTTGGTATCTATTTTTCTGTCAGAAAAACTGGCCTTATATACCCTTCAACTGTGCACTTCATTTGAAATGCTAGTACAATTGGCTCAGGAGCAACATCGGCTAAATGCACCAATTTATGTAATATTTATTAATCAATATTTTTTTGCATTAATTTTAAAATGCTTTTATAACTACATTGGATAAATATGCATAGGCTTGTAAGAAATACATTTGTGGAAGAATATGTATCTGCTGTCAAATGATCTTAGACTTATTGAATGGTTCAAACCCATCATTGGAAGAGGAAGCTTTTGAAAAGGAAAATCATTTTGTCTACAGGTGAGAAAATAAATATTTATGTTTTGTAATTTAATTCTAACATGGTGCATTTTGTAGAATGGATTTAGTGTTAGACATTATATTAGAAATGCCAAGCAAAACAAATCAGGAACAACTATCTGAATGTACAGAATTATGGTTGAGATTGGAAGATGTTTTCTCTCATGCTATGGCAATTACCCAAGTGTGTCAGCCATATAATTTTAAAGCCATAACTGGATCATGTCAATCCATAGTACTGGAATACGAGAAATTAAAGCAGCAATTACTATCGGAAACACCAGATCCAGCGTTAAATAATTTGTTTATGCACACGTTATCTGACGCTCTTTATCGTCTGGAACGTAAAGTTAATATAGCAGTATTAACACTCGCAATGGAAGTGTTTAGCAATCCTTATGCAGCTTTGAAGAAGCTTGTTATGACGTGCGGAAATTCGTTAAGCGCGAAAAAAAGATCTAAGAATGATCTAAACAATCTCATAGAAGATTTTGACCAACTCTTTGATCAAACTATGCAAATCGGAATATTTGCTATCGCTTCTTGCAAAGACAGAAATCGTCAGTTGCTTCCATTTATAAAAAATAATAAGCTATTAAAAAATGTTTAACTTATTAAAAATATCTAACAAGTTTCATTATTTTAGGTAACAATAAAATTCGCAATTGCCTCGCAGGATTTGAATCCTTAGAGACTGAATTAATTTCTGCTATAATTTCTTTCTACTTGCATCCGGATAATAAGGAAATGCGTTCCAGTGTCAAACTATTGACTGAACAATGGCAGCTGGAAATGAATAAGTTTCAGAATGCCGTAAATCTCATTATAAACTCGGCTGCCTTCTGTCAAGTAAATATAACATTGTGAAGAATTACTTTAGAGAGTACTTGAATATATGTTTTATTCAGGTAGTTATGGATAGTCTTCAAGAACGTATAACGGCGATCTCGGATTGTCTCGATAACAGACAACCAGTTACACAACTTCAAGTGCAAGGTATTGTTCAGCGCGCTTCAGCTTTATCTAGCCAAGTGACAGCGATTATAAATGACATTGGTATTGAAAACATCGATCGTCAAACGATAATGATGACAAGAGAATTGAAAGCAGGTAATTATGATGTTAATTATTATTTAAAATTATTTTGCTGAATATTTTGTATACATTTTTATAGCCATATTTGAAGCCAATGCAGCTGCTAAGACTCTTCTAGCTGAAAATGCAACAGAGCCCCTACAACTGCGAGTGATAAAACGATGCGAATTAATATTGAATGTCGTTCGGAGATTGGAACCAGTTTTGTCCACAATTATGAACAGCACAATACATGAGAAATCTTCGTGTAGAGGCCAAGGAGATTCCAGCTATGGTAAGATAAGTAATTATTAGAATATGTCAATTTATAAAATATTCAACATTGTCATTGAATGCGCTATTAAGGAAAGGTATAATTTTGTGTATTGCAGGTATCGTTTCAAATACTATTAATTTCCCGTCTACAATTTATGATTTACCGCGCGATGACAATAGTTTGGTTTACATTAGAACACCCTATACAGGTTTGCAAAAATTTATAAAGATTTTAAATTGACTATTTGTTCTTTAAAAATAATATTGAATTTTTTCTATTTTAGTAAAAACGTATAAATCGCAGGTGTCCATTCAACCGGCAAACAGCATAGTGCAGAAACCGTCGAACTTATCATACTTAATACCTTACATAAAAAGTGGTCGCACACTACGCAATGAGTATTCCATTATGTATAACACACCACACAAAAATAAGGATACAATGGAGTCAGTTGTTAAAAATGAGATATCTCTCAGAAATCTTTCTAGTGTTAGGCAACATCTTTTTAGCAGAGATAGTTTTACAGTTCACACCAATATCGACATATCGGAACAGAGTATAGATTTAACAGGTAATGCAGTAGACTTGAAATTGCCATTTGAAGAAGAATTACGATATTCTAAATTGTTTCAGCTGTTTTAGAGAAGATCACTCTGTTATCTACATCGAGCAACTCAACGTTTTCATCTTGCCAATCCTCAAAAGTACAAAACACATCTTCTGAAAGTACAAGTAAAAGTGTGGTCTCCAACATCTTACCTGGCACTGTTAAACCAGAAACTGAAAATTGTTTAAACAAGTCGGCTATAATGGAGAAGATGGGTGAAGGTATTATATCTGGTGGTGGTGATGCATCTTTAGTTATGGAAACTTGTCAAAAACTTAATAGTGTTCGACTTGCAAATAGTAAGATTCAAAAATAGGCATCAAAACAGCATAATATATGAAAAGAGAAAAATGTATTTTTTAATGTGCAACATTAATTATCTTACTTTTATTAAGGTAGTTTTTAATTATGAAAAATATTAGCATTTAAAATGTTAGTTACATTAATATGTAAGTACAGTAATTCTACATGAGTTGTAATACTAATTTTATATATATTAATTGAATTTAATGAAATTTAAATGTACATTATCTTAAATTTTATAAAAATTTAAATTGCACAAGGTACTAAAATGAACAGAGTCTAGAAATAAATTTTTAAATAAATTAGAAATTTAGTATAGGCGGTTACGCGAAAATATTTGTCATGGGATTTTACCTTAAGGTGCGTTGCGATAGCAACAATACCTCAAGATTATTTTCAAGAGAACCACTGGCGTTCATTTTTGATTGGTTGGATTATTCTGTTTCATACAAGATCCTTTCTTTCTAATTGAACTTTTCTATGTTTTCTATAATTTTCTTTTCTTTTGTTTAAAAAATTTGGAACATAAAGTTATCTTATTTACAATTCAGAAGACAGAAAAGTTTAAATATGAGAAATAGATAAAAGCATTTTTCTAGATTTTCGAACAATCACTTCTTCCTCCATCTATGAATGTTCAATGAAATACGCATGAAAGATTGTATGGTACGATTAGGTTTAAAAGGTTTCATACACATTATATTTGTGAAAAATAATAAAGAAATGTGGAGAAACTGCGCAAATGTTTCATAAGTAGTATAAGTAAGTGGCATGTGAAAAAAAAGTGCATGGAGTAGAGAAAGAGGTACGGGACAGCCCGACTTGTTCTAAGGTGGTCCAAGTCAGTCCACCACCAAACAAAACATGGACGCCGTAGAAATAAATACGTCGGATCCGCCACAGAGCGAGGACGCGACCGCATCCGGGATATGCCGCGTATGTTTACTGGACAATCTAATAATGCGCGACCTCTTCTTCGAGAGCGATGTCGCGTCTCTGTCGACGAAGGCGATGAGCTTCGCCAACGTTAAGGTTAGATACGTAGTTTGGAGGTTAGACACCAACGCAAGCTTTAAGCACTTGTAATATTAATGTTTTTGTTTTACTGTACTCTAAAATCGATCTCTGATTGATAACATTTAAATTTTTTATAATCTCTGTTAATTCTAAGTTATAATTTATTAAGTATGACAGCTCTACATCTCTCATGTTCTTGATTTCAAGATTGGAATATTTTGATTTTTTTCATGTAAAACTAGAGATTGATTTCTCTCATTGAATATAATAGAAATATAACATACTTTGGAAGTATACTAAACTTTTTTTTTTAATTAGATGTTACCAGGTGATGGTCTACCAACACAGGTATGCTGTGTATGTGCTGATAAGCTAGAGTCAGCATATGAATTCAAGTTACAAGTGGAACAGGCTGACATTGTTTTGAAAGAGAGACTTGTTGGAGGAATAATTAAAGAGGAATTGTTTCTCAATGAAGTGGAGATAGATTTGGATGATGAACGGAATGACATTGAGGAAGAAACAGTTGACAGTGATAATTATGAATCTACTGCTGATGTTTTGACAGAAGAGTCAAATACCGACAAGAATTTTTTGAAAGACAAGTTAATTTCATCAGATGAAAAATTGACAAAGACAAAAAGAATGCAACAAAGTGAGTAAAATATAATTAATAAATACATGATATTTAAGTTAGAATAAACATTGAAAATTAATAACTATCTGAAAATATAAAAATCTAAATTTACAAGTATTTTACAAGATGTTAAATTTTTTTAGATCCAGAACAAAGTAATTCACAAGAAATTAGTCAAAGCATTGCGGAAGAATTGCAGCAAGAATTATCTAAGACAGAGGACAGTGGCATGTCAAGTACGATTAACGAATCTAGGGATCAAGAACTTTTCATGGAGAAAAATACTCCAAGTTGTCCAGACATGATTCCAACAGAGGAACACAATTATATTATGCAGCAACAATGTATATTGTCCGCTGAACAATTACCTTTGCAGGAAAAAACGCAAGAGAACGTGCCACAAATTGAAAGTGAAGAAAATCAAACTGAGGAAAACCAGGACATTCAAGTTGAGCTAGATCAAAAGTATGAAATTGAGCAAACTCAAGACGATGGAATTGAGGAAAGTGAAGAAATTCAGGCTGAACAAGTGGAACAGCTGGAAAATCGAGTTGAGGAAATTGAAGAGAACAAAGTTGAGCTAGTTCAAGAGAATGAAGTTGAGCAAAATCAAAATGATGAGAAATCTCCCTTGGAAGAAACGGCCAACGCTGACGTAAACGAGCCAGCGATGGAACAAGATTCATCTCAGAACGAAACTAGAAGGAGTAAACGCAGATCAACTCGCCGGACATTCGCCGAACGGGATTCCGACGAGGCGAGCTATTTTGAAAACCTGAATCTCAGTTCCCGTATGAAGAAAGTACAGGCGGACAAGACTGAGAAGATCTTCTTTATGTGTTACTTGTGCGACAAACAGTTCCTGTCGAAGAGCATTCTGAAGGAGCATATGCACTCTCACGAGGAAGTGAGAAAAACACTGTCCCTGCAGAAAACACCAGAGAAGCCGCAAAAGGTACAGATCAGCGTCTCCGTCGCGAAGACGCCGTCATCTGGAAAGAAAGTCAACAAGTGCCCTTATTGCGGTAAGGAGTATCTGTACATAAACTCGTTTAGTAAACACATTAAGCAACACGAATTGGAGCAAGAGGAGACGAAAGAGGAGCCGATGCCTCTCGAAGTATCATTCCAAGAGGATGAGTGCAGTCTGGATTTCGATAACGACAATAACTCGGATGCGGAATGCAGGAGGCGAATAAAGAGGGGAAGTGCGCCCGATGAAAACGAGGACAACGCGAGCGACGACGAACAGGATAAGAGAAGGAAGCGGAGTCGCATCGAGGAGTTTGTGTGCGACAAATGTCCCGAGAAATTCTATTTGAAGCAAGAATTTCAAAAGCACTCGCTCACGCATATTAATCTTCAGTGCAGCGTGTGTAAAGAGGAGTACAACACTCTGGAACAACTGAAGAATCACCGAACGAAGCACGTAGTCGAAGGAGTGCTCACCGAGCAGGATTTAGAGGAGGATATGAAGCAGATGGTGAAGAACGTCGATAATAACGAGGAGAACAAAGGCGACAATGAGGAAGAGAACAACGGAGAATCCAACGAGAACACCAGCGAATTGAAGTGTCCGAAGTGTTCGATGACGTTTGCGCGCAAAAAGTTTCTGTCCAGGCACCTGGAGACGGCACATTCCGGCAGCTACGACTGCAAGATATGCCGTCAGCAGTTTCAGCGGAAGGATCTCTTACGCAAACATATCGAGCAGCAACACGCGCGGATGAAGACCTACAAGTGTACCCAGTGCAACAAGATCTTCGGCAACGAATTCACTCTGAGGAATCACCTGGTCGCCACAAATCACAAAACGTTTGTACACGGGAAGGAGTACGATCCGAACAAGCGCATAAAGCGCGTGGCCGCGAGAGCGGCGCAGAAGATCATCTCGGATAAGATCAAGACTGAGCTGCTCGGTCTGGAGAATTACGACGACGATGATACCGATTACGACGCGAAAATAGACGGATCGGGTTACCGTCGCAAGCGCGACGTTACACCAAAGTATAATTATAAGAAAGATTTGGAATGCGCGACATGCAACAAGAGGTACAGCTCGAAGCAGGCGTTGACGAAGCACATGGAGCTGCACGTGAAAAACGAGAAAGCGGAGAAAGCAGCGGAGGCGGACAAGTCGAAAAAGGCCACTCCGGAAAAGAAAGATGCGCAGAAGACGAGCGGCGTGGGTGACAACGACGACGACGACGACTCGGACTTCGAGAGCGGCCTCGACTGGCCGATGGATAGCCACGAATGCACCACGTGTAAAAAGCGTTACAGCACAAAGAAGTCGCTGCTGCGGCACCAGCTGCTGCACGAGGAGCCCAACTTCCAGTGCGACATCTGCAACGTTAAGTTCTACCGCAAGGACAAGCTGAAGGCGCACTACGACAAGTGCTCGGAGAAGAATCCCGATCAGGTGCGAAAGTGCAACATCTGCGGCGACAGTTTCGAGAATAACGAGATTCTGCGGGAGCACAGGGCCAAGCACGTTACCGAGGGCATCCTCACCGAGGAGGATTTGAAGGACATCGAGCCGAAGCCGGAAGAGAAAAACGCGGACAAGAAGATCGGCCGTAAGAGGAGGACCGACATCATCGGCCTCGAGTGTACCGAGTGCAACAAGCAGTACACTTCCAGGAAGGGTCTTCTGCGGCATATTCAGGTGCACGAGGGCAAGAAGTATTTGTGCGACATGTGCCCGAAGAAGTTCTACCGGCGAGAGCATTTGAAGATCCATGTAGCCAAGCACAACATGCCAAAGGCGTACAAGTGCACCCGCTGCACCAAACGCTTTGTGAAGGAGGAACAGCTGAACAATCATCTATCGAAGCACGACCGCACGTTCAAGAAGAACAAGGAGACTGACAGTTCGAAGAGATTCCTCTGCGAGATCTGCAGCAAGAGCTTTACGCAATCGACGACGCTGATAGCGCACTTACGCGCCCACAACGGCATCAAGCCGTACGTATGCGAAGTGTGCTCCAGACCGTTCACCACGAATGCTTATTTGAAGATGCACATGCGTACGCATACTCAAGAACGACCGTACATCTGCCATTACTGCTCGCGAGCGTTTGCCCGGGCCGACACTCTAGCGAACCACGTAACATCGCATACTGGTGAAGCCAAGTACCACTGCAAGTGTTGCCCGAAGAACTTCCGGCGACTCAAATCGCTGAAGGAGCACATGTTCATCCACACGGGCCAGCGACCCTACGAATGCCCGACCTGTGACCGGAAGTTCAACAACAACGGCAGCCGCTACGCGCACAGCAAACGCTGCAAGCAGAATCTCCTACAGAATCAGAATCGCGCGCAACAGACGCAGCAGCAACAACAACAGCAGCAGCAGCAGCAGCAGCAGCAGCAACAGCAACAGCAGCAGCAGCAGCAGCAACAGCAACAGCAACAGCAACTTCAACAGCAGACGGTGCTAACGGTCCAGCAACCTCAAGAGTTGCAGCATCCAATGCAGATACAGGTACAGCCGCAAACAGTCACGTTGCCGCCAAACATCAAGACAATTGCTATCGCGAGACCGATCGAGTCAATGGTGGCAACGCAACAAGTGATAGTCCCGCAGCCGCAGGAGATATTGATGCCGCTGATTTTACCGCTCACTGTCACCCTCACCGACGTCGGCGAGGAGGTGATACTACCCGAGGGTACGAAGATATACACAACTTCCTAATCGAGCCGATCTTCTGTTCGATTAAAGACATATTTCTTGCGATGATGATGCATCTCACACGACATTGAGATTACATCTGCTTGAAGATGACGAACCGAGCTTTGTTTTCTTATAGTTTCCCGTGGCACTAGGGTTGTCAGTCCTGCATTTCAGACACGGGAAAGTCAAAGGCTCGACGTCGATTGATATTGATATTACCGTGAAATCTTTTGCACTGGATAAGAAGGGTAATGATGCTCCGTGTGGGTGTACTGTTAAATAATTCGATGACTGTATCGATTTCAGAGAGAGAGCATCATTTCAATTACGTATAAAATGTTATATCGAAGTTTATTTTTGCAACGGTGAAGGCGTATAAGGCGTATATGTATAATTTATCTAGAAGTTCCAGATATAGATGTACCTTTTCACGATAACGCGCATTAACAGAAATGAATAGAGTAATCGTCTTCAATGAAAATTCACGTCTCAGAAGAGAATAGGAATTAACAGACGTCTTTGTCATAAATGTACATGTAATATAGATAATTTCTTTTACGAAACATAATATAAATAAAAGTAGCTTAAGCACTTAAAGCTTATTGTTTTAAACAATGCTAGATTTACTTTTATTTAGTTTGTTCTTTCAGATTCTTTCTTTTTCCTTCTTTCTTCCCGAAAATTATTTGTGAAAAAAAATACGAAAATGATACGATATCTTTTTTCAAAAATAAAAAATTTTATCATATATATATCATATTAATATATATATATATATCGATTATACATAGAACTTTTGAGATATCACTATACAAAGTGGATTGCTTAGGGTCTCGAATAAAAAAAAATATGAACCAAATCGACATGCAATTCAACTCCAAAATATAATATATTCTTAAATTTATATGCACGATAAATTGGTCCTCATGTTTCTTAAATTTAAAACCTTAAACAATTGTTTATACAGTGATATCCCGAAAATGTTACATATATTGCACTGAATTGAATAATCTTTTTCATTCAAATATATAATAGCAAAATTAACGATTACACATTTGGTAAGAAATGATAAGTTTTACGCGATGCATGAGTCACATGTTCTCACGTAATAATTCTCATAATAAATCGTGTCTATGTAACAATTGTAAAATTAATGCGAAACTAAACACACCATTAAATTGTATAAATACGTTATATGAATACGTTATATAAACATTGTTATATGTATGTGAGACATGATTTCTCATTTAGATATTCTGTTGCATGAATAAAGTATTTGTTTTAATCTTACATTGTGGTTTATGGTATTGGAGTTGCTGAACTTTTTGTATTAACTTTTATTGTATATATTCGATTTGAGCTGAAGGAATCATTTGTAATTTTACAATGCATTATAACCCAAAGAGTAATACAATAAATTATAGAACCTTTTAAGCACGATTTACTCTTTTTACGTCAAAAGTATTTCAATGAGGACTGGTAGCAATGAGAGATACTTCAAAATTTATATACAGTTCACTTTTGTTGTATATTATTTCAGATGTGAGAAAGATTGAAACAAAATTCTGTAATTTATACAAAATGATAGTGGCAATGAATTAAGTAATCTTATAATATAAATGTAATTGATAAAAATATTAAAATGTCTTCAATTACGGCATATCTATGCACCTGAAGTGGTTTATAGTTTAACACAGAGAGATAAACATTTCTTATTTTAAGATATAAAAAAAGACATATTTTCCATTAAACTAATATTGATAACGTTCAATTCTTAGCAAGATTGTTAATTTTGATAAGATATTTTGGCAGGAAGAGTAGACCTTTTATATAGATACACAAGTTATGTGCGATGATATGCGTTTCTTAAGAATTACAAATGGAAAACTTGTAACAATCATGGATCATAATCCTTGATGTTTTTGTACATAGCCATAAGTATGCGAATAAAAAAATTCATGGCAACCGTTGTTTCTTATAAACGTATAAACATTTCACTTTATTCAATTGCGATTGTTAAACTGGATTGATATATATACAAACCATGTAAAAGTCAATCGACATATCACACAAGTCTTATAAGTGTTAATTTAATACGCAGATGTCCATTTTACTGATCAGGCTACCTTTTCTTATTCTTTCGATTTTATTCAACAGCAAATTACTCGATTTCAGGCGTCTATCACCCACAGGATATTGATTCCAGACGATCCTGCGTTAACTCGTCCTAACATACCGTGATCTCGCGTCTTGACTATGTATAAGAAAAGTAGAAGCGTATGGAACAAATTATTGCGCCCCTAAAAATATAAACACCATTATAGAGTAACAAAAGCATGCAATGCATGTCGTAAATACATGGTAAAATTTTAATTACCCTTTGTACTTCTTCGTAATCGCTGAGGA